CCCCAAAACCCCAAAACCCCAAAACCCCAAAACCCCAAAACCCCTAAAGGGCGTTCATCAATTGAAACTTATAAAAATATAAATGTGGAGCTTTAGCGAAGACAAAGGAGTCATTCAGAGGTTCAACAATTTCTGCCAGCAGGTATGCTTCTCATCAATTTTAGAATGAACCAAATCTCTTTAATCCCAACGTTTCCTTTCCAGGAAATGTATTTGAAGATTGCCCAAAGGGAGAATTTGGCCATGATGATAGCTATAACATGGAAAAGGATGAAGAGAGTATTAAGTTCTCACAAAAACTTGATTTCATTGTTCATTCTGATAACCCTGAAGCAGAATTCCAAGATAATTATGCTGGTGATTCAAACATGGCTATTCCTGATGATGAGATGATGGAAGCCGACAATAAATGCTCGGAGGATTCAGAATTAGCTGATGCTGAAGAGGCCAAAAAGTCTACTCGTAGTACTAACAATAACGAAATCAACTATGAATCTGCTGAAAATGATCAAGATTTTGAAGCTGAAGATTTCGAAATAGATGAGAGTTCATCTGAAGATAGCTCTGATTCTGAATATTCAACAAGGAAAAATCAGCGTAAAGGTGAATTCTCATCACACTTCAACAGAAAAGATATTTTGATAAAGAAATGCATTAGTGGGTCTAAAGGGTGTATTAAGCACTACTTCTCCAACCTCCTCTCCACTGAGGATGCTCAACAAGCGGTTGATTATCATCAAGGGATAGACAAAATTCATTGGATAGCAAACCATTTATTAACTGAGTTCAAGGATGATCTTGATCTTTGGTTTGAGTATGATCTAACAGAAGAGAGAGCGATAAAGGTCACCGCAATTGTTGTCTACCTGCTAAAATGAAAATATTTTGAAGAATTTATCAAGGACAATCTTCCAGAAGAAGATTGGGACATATTTCTTGACAATATTGAAGAATTTAGACACTTTGGTAAAACATCTGACAGTAGGGAAAAAGCTTTAAAATCAGAGTTTATACATATTGCAAAGCTGTTGATGGTCAGAGATGAAATCCATGTTAAAGCATTCTGGGAAAAGCTGCTGGAGAGAAAGAACGCAAGTATTCCTGACCATAAGGCTTTCAAAGGAGCGATGGAGAATATTTTAGGAATATCCCTTGATCCTTATCCATATGACTAAAATTTACTAAATGCTTCTACGGTATCTATATCTCTTTCTCACTTCCCATTCCTTCTTCCGAATAGTTAAAAACAGCTTCTCGCCAATATGGGTCTCTTTAAGGTCAAATTTTATTTTGCAAATTTTAAAAATTATTTATTTTATCTTGATGCATTTTTATCAAATTTCTGATCGCAATCAAATTTTTGAAAAGTCATTACTCGATGTGAAAAATTTTAAGAAGTCTTTCTGACTAAACTGGTGATTATTATCACAACCTGATATTAGTTACATTCTTCACTCTTTAAACATAATATTAAGGCTATCAAATAACAGGTGATACTGCCTGTGAAAACCCAACTTATAAATTTCTCTAATTGGTTCGTTAAAAAGTCAGGAATATTTTCCTCAAAATTTCCTCTTCTCCTCTAGAAATACAGGGTGCCTAATCCTGACTTAATGGGCTTAGCTTTGTTATCCAACCTAATCTGCCTACTTCCACATTATCTTGGGATCCCTGAATATGCCCTTCCATGGCTGCCTCATTGTATAGTTCGTATAAGCCTCTTTTGCTTATTATTAGTACGAATCAAATCGCTTAGAAACTCATGACGTTCAAAATCCTTTAAGATTTGTCACTGAAGAATTTAAAGTCAGATTATTTAGCATAGCATGTTTACGGACTTTATCGGAATAACTTTCAACCAGAAAATGGCTTTTCGGGGTTTTGGGGTTTTGGGGTTTTGGGGTTTTGGGGTTTTGGGGTTTT